ATTTTCTCAATGTGACTCAGCAATCGAACCAATCGATCTCAGAATTTGTCGCGAGTCTCAAGAGTAAACTGAAGGATTGTGATTTCTACGTCACCTGCACCTGTTCTTCAAAAATTTCCATCGCTGACACTTTGCTACGTGCTCAGTTTATCCGAGGCCTGAAAGACAACTGGATACGCGAGCAGCTACTTCAGCAATCGAACTTCAAGAATTTTGAAGAAATCCTCAAGAAAGCCACCGCCTTGGAAGCCTCCCGCTACGAATGCAGCCAGCTGACTAAACTAGTGGATAAACCTACAGATTCAGCTATTGAAACATACAAAATATCCAAGAACCGCAGTTCAGTTCATGATAAAAACCGTCACAAGCAGTTCCAACCTAGTAATAGTCGTCAGTCAAGTCCAGGACCTCGCCAGCGTTCACAGTCTCGTAATCGTGGTCGAGTCGACTATCGAGCCTTGGGTATCGATGGGTTATGTCTCAATTGTGGCCGTTCGAACCATAAGTCACGAGATTGCAGAACTGATCGCAATTCCATGAAGTGTAGTTTCTGCCACAAAGTGGGTCACATTTCGAAAGTCTGCATTACGACTCTTCTGAAGAAATCGAAAACCAATTCTTTATTGACTCAGAATTCTCAAGATGATGAAGAGCAATCTGAATCAGCTTACGGAATTGGCCAAGTAAACTGCACGGAAGATTTGTATGAGATCGGATCAGCTTCAGACAAATATTTTATCACAGTATCTCTCAATAACAAGCCGCAGTCGTTCGAAGTTGACTCAGGTGCTAGATTTTCCCTGCTATCGCAGACAGACTTAAATAGTCTTAAGCTCGATGTTCCACTGCAACCAACGACAGTCTCATTCAGATCTTACTCTGACCACGTTATCACACCCCTAGGTAAGGTCACACTCTCAGTCGCATACAAGAATAGGAAAATGGACGCTGATCTGTTCATCGTGCCAACTGGCCATGATGCACTACTTGGTCGAGTTTCGATTCGAGGACTTGGGATCGACCTTAAGGAAATCGATATTGACCAACGTTCAACTCACAACTCAGTTTCTATCAACGCTGTCACACCTCTTGAAGACATCTTCCAGAAATATTCGTCAATTTTCGAACAACGGATTGGGTGTGTGCCAAAAATTGAAATCAAGTTGCAACTCAGAGAAGGGGTGAAACCAGTTTTCATCCGAGAACGTGATGTTCCGTTCGCTTTGAGAGAACGAGTTGAGAAAGAGCTCGCATCATTAGAAGCAGATGGAATCATTACTCCTGTAGCATTAAGTGATTGGGGATCACCACTAGTCGTGATACCTAAACCAGACGGAGAAGTTAGACTTTGTGTGGGTAATAAATGTGGAGTCAATTCCAAACTGGTCTCAGCCAATCATCCGATCCGCCGCATTGATGAAGTTCTCCACAGTCTCAGAAATTCGAAATTTTTCTGCAAGTTAGACCTCTTCAAGGCCTACCTGCATCTCAAAGTCGATGAAGAAGGAAGTAAAATCCAAACGATTGCAACACATAAGGGCACGTTCAGGATGAATCGTCTAAGTTTCGGAATAAAGACGGCGCCATCGGAATTCAACAGAATTTTGTCGCAGATATTGAATGGCCTTCCGAAAGTAGATGCCTACTTTGATGACATCATCTGCCATGGAACCACCATTGGAGAGTGCACCAGGAATCTCATTGCTTGTTTAGAACGTCTCAAGCAGAACGACCTCCACCTGAACAAAGCGAAATGTTTTTTCTTCAAGGAAAGCATCAATTACCTTGGTCATATTGTGTCTTACAACAAGATTCAGAAGTCTCCTGATAAGATACAAGCGGTCTCACAAATGCCACGACCCAGAAACGTTGAAGAAGTGAGACGCTTCCTAGGCATGGTGACGTACTATGCCAAATTTATTCCAAATTTCTCAACGAAATCATATCCATTACGCCGTTTACTTCGAAAAGGTGAGAAATTCTTCTGGTCAGCCACAATTGAAGCCGCATTTTTGAATCTCAAGTCAGAATTGTGTAGCGAACGTGTTTTGACACCTTTCGATCCATCAAAACCGTTAATTCTCACAACGGATGCCAGCCCCAAAGGCATTGCCGCAGTTCTCAGTCACGAAATAAATGGACATGAAAGACCAATAGCCTATGCCTCTCGAGCTCTGACACAAGCTGAATGCAATTATAGTCAATTAGATAGAGAAGCTTTAGCCATAATCTATGCCGCAATTCATTTTTACAATTATATTTTTGCCAGAAACTTCACACTTGTCACCGATAATGAGCCTTTGTCACGAATTCTTCATCCGAATCGTGCTCTGCCACAGATGACATCTGCCCGACTTTTGCGATACGCATCTTTTCTCAGTGGGTTGGATTATACCGTTCGTTGTAAGAAAGGAAAAGACAACGAGAATGTCGATTGTCTATCTCGTGCTCCAGTCACTCAAATAACCAAGTCAGCAGAGATAGCAATGAATGAAGAAGTCAACGCGCTGTATGCTGAAACTGTGCTCCAAATCTCTCTAGTTCAGCAATCACAGCTGAAATCATCGCTGAGGAAACAGCGAAAGACCCTGGACTTCAAACCTTAATGACTGATCTCAGAAGTAACCCAAGAGACGAACCTTTCACGATTTCGAATGGCATTCTCTTCAGGTTGGATCGTGTTGTCATTCCAAAGTCTCTTCAAATATCAATCCTGGAAGAACTTCATGCGACACACTTGGGAATAACCAAGATGAAGCAGTTAGCTAGGAAATACGTCTTTTGGGAACGATTAGATAAGGACATTGAACGGCTTGTCAAAAGCTGTGAGGCCTGTGCTAAGGTCCGTCACAATCCTCAGAAAGCAGCAGTTCATCCTTGGGATGAGCCTGAAGAAAACTGGGAGAGATTGCATATTGACTATGCGGGTCCTTTCGAAAATCACTATTTCCTAATGTGTATCGATGCAAAGTCTAAGTGGGCCGAAGTTCGTATAATAAGAATGGCTCCGTCCTCGGCAACAACGATCACACTCTTGGAAAACATCTTCTCAGTGCATGGTTATCCCTCAGTCCTGGTATCAGATAACGCTGCAATCTTCAAAAGTAATGAATTTCTACTATATTGCAAGGAGCTTGGAATCTTCCAGAAGTACATTGCTCCTGGCCATCCAGCCACTAATGGCCTTGCGGAACGTAGTATTCAAACCCTGAAAAGAAGACTCTATGCCGCAGTTGATGACCCGACACCCTTGGCAGTCAAGTTACAGAAAATTCTGTTCCGCTATCGAGCAACACCATTAGCATCGGGTAAATCAACTGCGGAACTTTATCTGGGAAGGAAAATCAGAATACGTCTCGACGCCCTTCTTCCGAAAAATAGAGCGTTGATTCCTTCAAGTTCCGGCACTTCCCGTGTCCGATCATTTCAAGTGGGAGAGAGAGTTCAAGCAAGAATACATCAGGGAAATCAAGATATTTGGCAGTTTGGCACCGTCAGACAAAAGCTTGGCAAATTGCATTACATCATCGAGTTGGACACAGGACGTAGTTTGAAACGCCACATCAACCAATTAATTGCCACATTGGTTCAGAAGAAACGGGTCACGTTTGCACCTTCACAAGATCCACCTTGGATACGAGGAGTCCCGTATACGGCAGATGCTGATGTACCTTCAGTTGATTCCCAGCCATTGTCACAACCAAGGGAACCAATGGATGACAATTTTCCAGATGAAAATATCTGCCAGCCAGCATCGCCAGGTGAGATCGGCCGTCAGCAGGCACCACCAGGTGAAAACACCTGCCAGCAGGCAATATCAGGTGGTAGTACAACCCAGCAGACGTTACCAGATCGACGCAGATCTACTAGGCATCGTGGTTTCCCAGGATACCTGAAAGACTATGTTCCCAAGTGAAGAGAAAAAAAATTAAATGAGTTCTTTTGCCAAATTATTTTTTCCAATTAAGTGGGGGAGAATATTGTGAAAATAACACCCTGTCTCCAGAAGGAATTGATAGTTAGATGATGCTGTCAGAGTATTCATGTCAGTTCACTCTGAATTTTGTAACACTGTTCAATTTGTTATATTGGATTATAATTATACGCAATATGTCCTATATTCTCATTATTCGACGACTCAGTCACAACAGATACCTCAGCCAAATGTTGTGTCTATGTATAACAGAAATATGGGGGAAGTGGATCAAATGGACAATAATGTGTCTAACTATCGAATTTCAATGCGCGGAAAGAAATGGTACATTTCCATAGTATTATGGCTTTTTGATGTTGCCATGAATAATGCTTGGCATTTAGCCAGAATAGAAGGTATAACTGACAATTTGACATTTAGGCGGGAGGTAGTCAAATCCAACAAAATATGGAACTCCACTCCTCAGATCAGGACCTACATCTTCAAGAAACATTCCTCTTCCTGCCAGACTCAATGCCCGACACATAACCCTCACTGATTTGGCAAGAATAAGATGCGCTATTTGTAAAAATAAGTCCACAAAAGGATGTTCTACTTGCGGTGTAGCACTTCATGATGAATGCTTTGATTTGTATCATCAAAAATGATAATGAAAATAGAAGTTGAATAGTTTTAAAATTAAAATCTGCTTCATATTATTGTCCTGTGCTCAGTGGGTCGTTGGTGACCCACAGTCTAGTATCGCCATTTTGCATAAAATATTATTTTTTTCACTATTTTTCTGTGATCGTTTCAGAGAGGGGCATCATGAAAAAACTGAAATTGTTTTTCCCCTACCTGAAAAAAATAGTGAGCACTACTCTACTCTGGGTCGTTAATGACCCACTGAGCGTTAATGGGTTAAGACTGTAATACCCACCAGTGACCTCTATCTACTGTAGACTCATCTCTGTTTCCGAATGAAACCCTGAATAATACTTGCGAGATTAGTATAGTTAATTCTTGTTTACGTGGTACCATGTCAAAATCAAGAACATAATTAATTTCAAGTTGAGGTTAAAAAGAATAAGAAATAAAGAATAATTTTTATTGAGATCACAACATTACAAGGCACTTTGAACATAGTACCTAACATCAGATAAAAAAACAATTAACTACAAAATAAACAAAACATTGAAGTTTGCCCTGATACTTTTTGGATTTTGCTGCCAAAGCAGATGTAAGATATGGAAACAATATCACAATAAACTACAAGGCACTCGTTAACATTGAATTAAAAACAATACTTATAAAAACATAATTAAAATTCATTTATTTCTAATATTAAAAGTTTGCACTAATGCTTTTCGTATTTCCCTACCAACGGCAGCCCCCAACGGAGGCGGTACGGCATTCCCTACCTGTCGATGTTTATCCAAAATGTTTCCGAAAAACTTGTACTTGTCTGGGAACCCCTGAGAACGGGCGCATTCTCTAACACTGACAACCCTATTCTGATCCGGATGTAAAACTAAAAAAATATATAGGGATAAGTAAGCCAACATACAGTGCTAGTCAAAAGTCCCCTCCCCCCCTCGTATCTTTTGAACGGGTATACTTATAATAATGGCCTTGTGACGTCATTTATGACTATTGCGTCACCTGTTATGACCAGTTGAGAAGCCTACATCCGATTATTTCCACCCTCCAAATTTCATTATTATAAGTATACCCGTTCAAAAGATACGAGGGGGGGAGGGGACTTTTGACTAGCACTGTATAAACCATCTATTAGTTCAACAATGCCAAATCAGTTGAACATTTGTCAATTGAGCATTAAGCCAAACTACGCTACTTATTTTCGAAACCGAAAGGAAAATTGCTGAACACATTGGTTTTTATTTTTAAAATAGAAGCAAAACTTCCTCACAGTTACAGGGTATGTCACGACGAGATTACACTATCTTTATATCGAGAATCAGTCAGGAGAAATCCATGAAAATGTGCATGATCATATAAAAGAATTCGCTCTCATTCATTCAAGATATTTAAGACAATGCAGTGTTGCCGCTTCTACTAGAAAGTAGTAGCAACATTGACATTCCAAATGGAACACCGTGTATTTTATCACATTTTTAGATTATCCCTGAAGAGCCAATTTCATCAATGTATCACACTTATGGTCTATGGAAAATAATAACAGAGATATAGGGTGTTCAAAATCTATATTTTTCAACTTTAGAATGTTTTCGAGTCAAAACTATTCATTATCGGTCAAAACGGCTCTCATGTCCCTATTTCAACTTTTGATTCACTATTTACAGATATTTGATCGGAACAGATACAGGGTGGTTCAAGATTAAGAATTCTGATCACCCTGTATCTGTTCCGATTAAATATCAGTAAATAGTGGATCAAAAGTTGAGATGAGCACATGTGAGCTGTTTTGGCCGATAATGGATAGTTTCGACACAAGCAAATCCTAAAGTTGAAAAATCTCGATTTTGAACACCCTATAGTTCTGTAATAATTTCCGTTAGTCCCCAAGTGTGATGTATCGATGAAATCAGCTCTTCAGAGAAAATCTAAAAATGCAATGAAATACAGGGTATTCTTTTTGAAATAACAAAATCGTTGCTACTTTTTATAGAAGCGGCAACACTGCATTGCTGAAAATATTTTAAATGAAGAGAGCGTATTCTAAAATGTAAGCATGCATATTTTCATGGATTTCTCCCGACTGATTCTCAAAATAGTGTAAGCTCTTCGTGACATACCCTGTATATCTCTCACAAAACACCAAGAATTTTAAATTTTTCAACAATTTGTGTCGTCATTATTATGGCATTATTTTGTAACCTCATTGTAATCTCTAGCGTGTATCATAGGTTTTTTGTTGGATAGAATCACTCATAAACATTGTTTTCATGAAAAGTAAGATATATAAGTTAGGTTATATAGTTTTTTGTCGTAAAATCATACTTAGTATGTGTTATCGGAACCGTTTTTGCAAGTTAACTTTGAGGATATGATCTGTCGAGTCATAATCTACTCACTATTATATGAATGACCCCCAATATTCAGTTCATTTTGTTTTATGCTCATCCTTAAAATGGTACCTAATGCTACCACTGCACCTTATTATTCAATCATATTTATGAAATGTTTCATCCCGATATGTATATTACCAGAAGGTTGATTCTTTTTGAATAATTATTTTTGTTATAAAGGATGTTTGGTTCACTGACGTATATCTGGAATGAGGTGTAGGGAGCGTGATTTTGAACACTTTAGAAATAAAGATACAACCGAATATGTTTGACAAAAAGGATGATATCTCGAAATTCTAAACACTTTGTGCATAATAGTATAAGTATATATGGTTAAACATTTTCGTATTGTTTTTACCTATCACTGCCTTTCAGATACACGTCGGTGAACCAAACACCTAGTATAGATTGAATTCAAACTTGTTCTAAGTAATGAGAATCAAAAAATCAGAAATACTGCCTTATTCAAGAGGAATGTTCATTTTTGTATGATGATATTTTTGAGGTAATTGATATTCTTTCAGATTCAGAGTCAGATAGTAGCAGATCTGACTCACAAAAAGTTTGCTCCTGTAAGATTTGCTACATCAATTGACTATTGACAAAAACGATAAATAATTCAGTTCTTATTGTTCATTCCGAGCTATGGTAATGGATCTGCGAGTAACTGAAAATGATGACTGTACACAACTGGAATCTGGTTGGATAGTTAGTCCAGAGATTATTTGGAAGGACTAGAATTTGATTTCGAAATTGGTTGACATAGTTTATTGTCTGAGAATTAAATTTTCATACTCAGACTCGAACAAACCATCATCAGATGAGGAAACGACAGAAATGGAATTTGAAAGAAAAAAAAAATTGAAAAAATTTCTCTGAAGCAACAACAACTATTTAATTGGTTACCATTCCTACTGGGATGCGTTTGATTACTGACTCCCAGAGTAGAATGACGATTGTTCAGTAGAGAAACTTCAGCAGTTTTCTCCAAATTAAATACTATTCCACGTGGTATTCAAACGGAATTTTGGACAATGAAAATGTGGGATAGATTTGTCAAGCTTTCAAGCTGCAAGTTTCATTCATCAGTCAGTTCAATTTATAATAATGCTGGAAGAAGTACTTAGTAGGTATACAAGTCTTCCAGACTGTAAGAACAATCATAAACTGCGTCTTGAATGGACCTTACATATCTTAATACAAACAGAATATATACTCCTACACCCTGTAACTGTGTCAAATCAGAAGGGTAAAATAAACCCAGCTATTTTGTTGAGTTACAAAAGTTAATTAGACGTCAAAAACTCGAATCTTTTTGAACGACAGTCACAGAGTAGAATATAAACAATAAGACAAATTTCAAACGTGAATGAGCAGATTCAATATTCTATCTTTACAGTTATGATATACATGATAAATGATACAACATGCAGATGACACTACTTTGGTAACAAATGGGGAAAGTCTGCTTGACAACACGAGAGAATGGTGTTGAGTTGTAAATGGAATACCCTGTATGTTGTGGATCGAGACTTTTTCGTCAATTGAAATGTAAGATCGCCAAAAATAAACTCACCTCTTCCTTGTTTTCCCATAGGTTCAGGGTTGGTAATGGTTGTACCGAAATACCCGTTCCATTCTAGTCGGCCGTACAATCCTGCCCAATGGTTGTGCCGGTCAGCAGTATGCGGTAAACACCAAGGAATCAATGTATTCATTTGCTTGTCTGCGGGATCACAGGGACTACCCGTGGAGCACTGACATACCCCTCTAGGAGGCTCGTTATTTTTCTGTTTCTTAGTACTGCAACATAAAATACCAACAAACTATAAGTCGAGTATCACTTTCAATGTCGAATGGCATATTCTATAACAAGTATTGGAATGGTCCATATTCCGAACGAGCCATAGACGCGAGTTTAGAATAAGCTATTCCAAACTTGTTCATAAAAAAGATTATAAAAACTGTTGGAGTTTGAAAGGATTCAAGGTGTTCGAATTTCACCGAGGATAAATGAGTTTGGGATTTAGGTCGTCTCAATGGAAAGAAAATTGAATTAATAGTAAAAAAAATATGTAAATAAAAAGCTTTCATTGAAATTCTCTAAAAAGAATAAAATAAAATGTTCCTTTATAATTTCAACTATCAACTTATAACCTCATCATACACAATTTATATGATCATAAAAGTTTGTCGCGATGATCAAAATTTAAACATAGCAGATTTTACAAAATTAAATTAGTACTTAGTTTATTCACACAAGTAAATCGCGCGACAAGCTTTTATGATAATATAAATTGTGTATTGTGAGGTTATAAGTTGATAGTTGAAATTATAAAGGAACATTTTATTTTATTCTTTTTAGAGCGTTTAAATAAAAGCTTTTTATTAAATTTCATTTTTACTTTCAATTTGAATTTTAATTTTCAGTTATCGCTGGCTAAGTTTCTCAGTCTGTTAATTCCATTCAACGCATTTGTTGGAAGGCCGTTTGCCGGTTATTTTCGAACAGTCCAGCTCTTCAATAAGAAGACCTTCTAATGATTTCACACTTCATTTTCCGAGATGCTCTCAACGAACCCTTCCATTTTATACCCATATTGTAGAAGTGAATTAAAAATAACTATTCCGCCATCTTGGATAGTCCGCCATATTGGATTTAGAATGACGTCACATTATTTTTCGAGTTACTCTCAACAAGCCCTTTCATTTGATACCCATATTGTAGAAGTGCATTGAAAATAACTATTACGCCCTCGTGGATGGTCCGCCATATTGGATTTGACATGACGTCACATTATTTTTCGAGTTACTCTCAGCAAGTCCTTTCAGTTGATACCCATATTGTAGAAGTGCATTAAAAATTAATATTTCGCCATCTTGGATGGTCCGCCATATTGGAATCAGAATGACGTCACATTATTTTTCGAGTTACTCTCAACAAGTCTTTTCATTTGATACCCATATTATGGAAGTGCGTTAAAAATAACTATTATCTTGCATGGTCCGCCATATAGGATTTAGAATAACTTCACACACCTTATCATGCATTGTCATCCAAACTAAACGTGTATACAAAATTTCAGCTCGATTGTTTGAAGATATCGACTTCAAAATTGAGTTCAAAGATTCCACCCGAACTAACATACATACATCCATATATTGCAAGTTAAATAAAATCTTTTTTCCACTACTGCTATGAAAAGTAGCACATTTCTCATAGCTTACCTAGTTTCAAAACGATGTATTGCTCATACTGTGAGAAATATTTTTTCTCACGCACTTTGCCAACACCACATACATTTCCATGGAGAATAAACAAAAATCGACCAAAACCTAGTTGGCTGGTGTTCAGCTTTGAATAGTTGTCACAACTGTCAGAAGAAGTTTTTCAAATTCTTCGGCCAGGCGGCAGGGCGATAAAATCATTCAGAACCGTAAAAAAATGTTGGCAAAGGTTTTATTGTTTCAAATGGTTCATTAGGGTGGGATTAGCAGGAATCTAGGTTTTCCCCACACCCCCTAGGCCCGCGCCGGTCTTCGTGAGGCTCCAAAGGTACAAATTTTTGGTTTTTCGGAAATATCTCGTTTTCTCTTTGTCGTACGGTCAAAGTGGTCCTATATGAAATTAAACGTGACGAAATTCTGTACAAAATAGTTCTCAATCATTTTTTTATGGGACTTATAGTTTCGATGCAGTAGCCACGCGAAGCTATGCGATTTTCGACAAATGCAGTAAATATCGATTCTTGCTTACCAAATTCCACTCTTCTCTTGTTCTGGTAACTGTTGACAATTTGTTCTATCATTTTTTATGACTATGTATGAGTAATTTTAATTCGTTATCGATGAAAAGTATGTTTTGTGTCGTCTACAATTTATTATAGGCTTCTGTTTCAAAATTTATTTAGTAATTGAAACGGCTGTTTGGTTCCGAGAATACGAGAAGGGTCTCAGGTATAAATCCGGTCTTTTGTAGGAAGCATTAGCTCATGGGTGGGGAGGGTCCACTTCTGCCTGCATAGTATCCCCTCGTGTGTATAAAATATTCCAGTATAGCCTTCTGTGCCTGAGAAGTTGGTCGATGACGCGCTTACGTATTCTAAAAATCCAATGATTTCCGTATGTCTTCAGTGAGACAATGTCAGGACAAAATATTTGCTTCATATGTGAGAAGACTTTAAACGAAGGTGAAACTCTTGAAGTGAAGGCGAGAGGTTTGAATTCTCTCAAAGAGTCAAGTGTCCGCAGAAAAGACAATAAAGTGGGTCAGCTTCGAGGGCTGAATTCAGTGATTATTCATGTGAAGTGTCATAAAACATATACGAGAGAGAGGAGTATAATTGCTGCCATAAGAGCGAATACAGGTAAGAGTTATATAACTTTTGTAAAATAGGACATAACCCCACATTCATTTAGCGAAAAATTTCGCATTAAAATGATTGACGTTTGACAGAGTATGGTTTCAAAGCATTTTGATGTCGTTTTTTTTTAATAGTGGATGTTTTATCTATGGTACAGGTGAAACGAGTGGAACAGTTCGGAGATCTAATCTACTAACATTTGAATGGAAGACTAAGTGCCTATTCTGCGCGCAGGATGCTTCAGAGCAATTTTTGGCGAGGGAACAGAAAAATCACGTGGATAAACGTGATTCCGTCGGCCTTATCCAAACTCTCAATATGAACGAAAAACTCGAGAAGATTGCAGGAGAAAGAAATGACTCATTCAGTGAGAAGGTCGTTTTACGTATTAAAGACGTGGATCTCGTTGCTGCGGAGGGTATGACACGTGAAAATTCACTATCAATGGTAGTGTGCGATGATATATTTTTATAATGTATACATCGTTTCTACGAATTGTTTCCTATATCTGTTTCGAGTAGATTTATTATATTTTGATATGGTTATCGCACACTGCCGATTAATGACATGTATAACTGCATGCAGAATTGTACTATCTCGTAATTACATCAATTTTCAATTTACAGGCAGATATCACACGTCGTGCTTGAAGAGATTTTTCGCTCGTCCGCCTTCAACACGTGAAAAGGGCCGACCCGAAAATGAAGACGTCGTTGCTGTAATGAATCACATTTTTTCGTATATTGAAGAACATCGAGAAGAATGCCAGTTTTCGGTGAAAGAAATACTAGTAGGCTATGAAGGTAACCTTCCGACGAATACGACAATAATTAACAAACTTGAGAAAAAATATGGTGAGGACATGATTATCACAGCAAAACGAAAAAGTGAGCCCATCATCTCTTTTCGCGATACTGGGCATAAAATCTTAACAAAACATTGGTATGAAAATCAAGAGGAGAATGTGATAGATGAGCGTTTAAGAATCGTGAAGGCGGCTGCACAAATAATAACTGAGGACATCAGATCGCGCGTATATGAAACGAAACAATATTCTGCGTCGGAAACATTCTTAGCCAATATCGAGAGTGACATTCCGGAAACTCTGAAAGCTCTTCTTCACACGATCATCACGAAGAATAAACGCGGAGAGCAGGATAAATGGAATGCGAAGATAACAGCGATTGCACATGCAATTATAGCCGCAGCGAGGCCAAAGTCCTTCTTGTCGTCTCTTCAAATCGGCCTTGGAGCGTTCTTTAGTAGAAAATATGGATCCAAAGATCTTTTGAAAGTATTGTCGGCTTTAGGATTCTGCGCTTCTTACGAAGAAATAGTGACATTCGAGACGTCAGCTTTATTCCATCCGCAGAAAACAATAATGAACAACTCATTCTCGCAATTCGTATTCGATAATGCAGATGTTAATATCAATACCATCGACGGTTTGAATACTTTTCATACGATGGGAGGAATCCAGTGCGTAACTCCTTCTACGACTGTTTCTTCGGATGGAAAAATCAAGAGGCTGTCCAATATTCCACGTGCCCATACGATCGGACAATTCGGTAATGTTCCTTTGAGAACATTTCACAAGACCGGTAATAATGGATTGACAAGAATAAACATAAAAGATTTAAACGAGATCAATCCCATCTCCAGTAGAGTTAGTTTACTATCCAGCGATTTTTTCTGGCTGTATGGAAAAACGAACGGTATGCCAACTATCCCAGGCTGGAATGGTTATATGGAACAAATCACGTCACACATGATATATTCAAAGTCACGTCTACTGTATCTACCGTTCGTTAAAGCACCCCCAAGCAATCATGATACGATATATACCGTTCTTCTTAACGCGGCTGAGAAATGCAAGTCGTTGGGTCAAAGCAGCTGTTTCGTAACATTCGATCAGCCGCTCTATATCAAGGCTCGGGATATCATCGCATCTGTCCCTGAGAGCTCCGATCTGAGCGCAGTTATAGTCAGACTTGGTGGCTTCCATCTACTTATGTCATTCATGGGTTCAATAGGCTACATCATGGACGGAAGTGGACTGAGAGACCTTTTCAACGTCGTTTATGCAACTGCGTCTACGGAAAAAATGTTGACTGGTCATGCGTATGCAAGGGCCTTAAGAGCACATATTCTAGCTCATGTAGCTCTCGCCAAGATTGTCTTCTCTGCGGTGGGCTTTACTACGGAGGAACGTGCAGATATGGAAGATGCTCTTTCAAATATCGGTAATCCGTTATTCTTGAACAGGATTGAAGGGGAACATTTCGAGGATACAATAAGGAAATTCACCGAGACGTTGAACGGGCTCGCAGAGAATGGACCAACAGCCAAACTGTGGGTGCAATATTTCGACATGGTCACCTTGGTGAAACAGTTCATCCAAGCGGAAAGAACAGGAAACTGGGACTTGCACCTGAAGAC